CCAAACTGGGCCATTTTGGGGTGGTCTAGAGGATTCTAGACCCAAAGAGGCTCCTGGAGGGGGTCTCTGAAGTCACTGGGGTGCTTTTTTGGGTCACTCCTCTTGATTAGACCGAGAGAGAGAGAAAGATCCGGAGATAACCTCGTTCACCCAATGGGTACAGCAGCCATTTTGACTTTTAGCTGCATGCTACAGAGCAATTAAAAAGAAGAAAAATTCAAAATGATATTTCCCACACATAGCTCAGAACAGCTACAGCAGTGTTTCCCAATCCACGGGTCGTGAAGACTCTGAAAATGGGTTACAAGCCAGCCCTCGCCTGCCCTTAGCATCATTCTTTCTCACCTCGTCCAGGGTATCTAAACTCCACATTAAAAAATCTAAATTCTAAGCAAGAGTTCTAAGAAGTTCCAGGTAGCAACAAGTACCGTAAGTCCACTAACACCGCATGCAGGGTGCAGCAAGGTAGGGAAGTGTTCAGATCATACTCCATCACAGCTTCAAATTCTGGACTGATATCTTTTGTCTTCTTTTTGCAACCGAACACACTACCTGTTTTATCCAAGGAGTAATATATTTGTTTCGTGTGGTGTTGTTTTGGGACATATTAAAACAATACAGGCTAGGGAGTCTTCTTGCTCTGGACAATAAGGACACTTGCGTTCCACTGCAGGAGTCTATTCTATCTCTCTTGCACCTCCAGCTGAGTCTAAGCCATTACAACTTGCCAACAGAAAAGCTCATCTGAACTTAGAAGAAGAAAAGAAAAAACTGGATTTATACCCCGTCCTTCACTACCCAAAGGAGTCTCAGAGTGGCTTACAAACTCCTTTCCCTTCCCCTCCCCACAACAGGCACCCTGTGAGGTAGGTGGGGCTGAGAGAGCTCTTTCGAAAACTGCTCCTGAGAGAACAGCTGTGAGAGAACTTGTGACTGACCCAAGGTCATCCAGCAGCTGCAAGTGGAAGAGTGGGGAATCAAACCCGGTTCTCCCAGATTAGAGTCTGCGCACTTAACCACTACACCAAACTGGCTCTTAATGAATTTTAACCAGCAGAAAGAGTCTGGGCAAGGAAAAATTGCCACTAAAGGGTATCTGGAAGAAGAGTGGGAGAACATTTACAATTTGTATCCTTGAGCACCAACATTTTCCTCCAATTTGGACTACAACAACATACCATATGAACCAATATATCAAGGAGAATGCATTCTCCCTTGTGTCCAATAGTAATAACCAATATCTATAAAGTAGTCTTATAGATAACATCTTGTGCAACAAGGCACAACAGTTAGGACAGAAGTAGCCAATATAATGACGGAGGACAGCAAGACAAAAATGAAGAAGTGCAGCTGTTTCCATGCACAACACTGACAAAAAAGACTTCAGACATAAAAACAGTCCTCAGCATTTTGACTTTCACACAAGAAAACATAGATACTGATGTACTGATGGTAAAATCTACCTTGAGAGCATACATAGGAACAGGTTATACACTAAAATACAATATGAAGATACAAACTGTAAGACAAGTGCCCTGGAAACAGAGCATCACTGCAGCTTCGTAACAGTAAGAAACAATACACTTAACTCATCAGCGTCCTTTAGTGGTTATTTGATTGCATTACAGTTCTAGAAACCATCCTCCAAATTTTGAAGCAGAATTGGTGACTGTTATCTTTCAAATGAAGAGGGAGAAATGGACTTGCACAACTGATGATAAAAGTGCAGGCCATTTGAGTGCACATTCTAATTTTAAAAGGTCACCTTTCAAATTCCTCTGGGGGCCAGAATGAGGCTCTTGCGAAACTTACCTTGATAAAAGTTAGCCTTTTAACCATTCTAATCCACTTATCATATCTATGCAGAAAAATGTTTAAGTCTTCAGTTGTACTAAACTGTTGCTATAATTCTTACAGCAAGTTTGTTACTTAAAATACATCTGCCCTACAGCGTATTTCTCTATCATAAATATAACCAGTGGTCAATAGATCATGTATAACAGATCTGAAAAAGCTATGCATAGTCTAAAGTTACCCAATAAAGCTTCACTAAATGTATACATTTCAGAATGCTGGGGGGTTTGCCATTGAAAATTAAGTGACAGAATTAACAGCATTCTCTGCGGAAAGTACTGTTCAGTCAGCAAACTGAGTACTTGTTTAGCTATAGTGAGGAGTAAGTGACTGAGCAGAATGCTTATGCGTCAACATCTGAGGGCTCCCTCTGCACCAGAATCAATCATGACAGAAAGTCATAAATGTATGATCCATATCAGAATCTGACTAACAGTCTTTGTAATCCCAGGGTATGTCTAATGCAGGGGTGTCAAACATGCGGCCAAAGGGCCGGATCAGGCCCCCGGAGGGCTTCTATCAGGCCTGCAGTGGAACTGGCTGTCTTCTGCTTCTTCTTCCAGTTCTGCTGCAGCAGCAGCATCGTAGGTTTGCAGCTTACAGATACACACCTGAACAGCATACTCAACATTGCAACAGCACAGACATTTTGATGCAGTAATTCAGAGCAAGAGGTGTCAGTTATCAGACACTGTTAAATAAACAAAATATTGCAAGAGTGCTGATTAAGCATGTTTTTATTTTAAGTTTAAAAACCCTTTGTGTCTGTGTCCTTTATAAAGTTATATTTCCACTACCTGCCATTACATTTTATGACACACATGGCCTGGCCCAACAAGGTCTCACTTATGTCAGATCCAGCCCTTATAACACATGAGTTCGACACCCCTGGTCTAATGCAAGGAGATGAAATCTGCCATTTGCAGAGCGCAAAGAAGACGTAGAGCAGCCTGTCTAACAGATAAAGACAGAGCACCTTGTCTAACAGATAACCCTAACAGATAAAGACCAGGTTATCTTAGCTCCAGGAACAATCAGAACATGTTGGGGAAAAATAATGGAGGCTAACAGATGTGGCATATTTTTTTTTTTAAATGTCAAAAGTTTCTGCAACTTACATTAAAATTGCCACACTGTGCTCCCTCTTTGAATTCATGAAATCTTCCCGTGCTCTACGCATACAGATTAATGGATATGTGCATGCCCTATAATATAAAAAAAGCCAAGTGGGCTAACACTAAAATTCATCACCCTCTGTTTACTGTTGGTCATGGGGAAAGAAAGCGAACATAGCCAATGACCAATGTTCCCTCTGAGCTGAGTTAGTGTGAGCTAGCTCACAGTTTCTTAGCCTCCAGCTCACACATTTTTGTCATAGCTCAGGAAGGATGACTCCAAGGCAAACTGACTTATGCAGTAGCCAAATTGCCTGCTCACAACTTTAATGCCAGCAGCTCACAAAGCAGAATTTTTGGCTCACAAGACTCCACAACTTAGAGGGAACATTGCCCATGACTGCTTCAAAATGGAAGACTATCTACCAGCCTCCTGTATCTTGTCACAGTCTCACACATGCACATCTACCCCCATACAACTTCTCAAATCCCAAGGCCAAGGATTGAATCCTGCACAACATCTATACAGTTCCATAATGCAGAAGCAGTGGAGGAAATAAACACTGCATATTTCCTGTGCCAAATCTCTAGTTTTCAGAATGACCAGACAGACGGAAGGTTTCCAGCTATGTATAATTGTGCAAGAGCAACTATCTTTTGAAATGTGAGTACACATTTGTGATCAGGAATTGGAAGGGGTGGGTGGGTGGAGGATTGCATCAATACAGCTTTCACTTTCGAACAAAGTCCATGTAAATCCCTACACACAATTTAGGCCTTCAAGCAGAAGAACAGAACGAGGCAACTGAAGCTTTCCAGGAGACCATCCTCTTTACCGAAGACAGACTAGCAACTGCAGTCAGTTTGGTGGCAGTTTGGTGTAGGAGTTAAGTTAATGGACTCTAATATGGGAGAACCGGGTTTGATTCCCCACTCCTCCACTCGCGGCTGCTGGATGACCTTGGGCAAGCCATAGTTCTGTCAGAGTTGCCCTTGAAAGAGCAGTTCTGGAAAGAGCTCTCCCAGCCCCACCTACCTCACAGGGTGTCTGCTGTGGGGAGGGGAAGGGAAAGGAGTTTGTAAGGCACTGTGAGACTCCGAGTGAAGGGCGGGGTATAAATCCAATCTCTTCTTCTTCCTCCTCCTTTGGGGCTGATAAACCAACCACAGAGACATACCAAGGCTCGAATATCATCAGGAAACACATGTCACCGATGCCGGGCTGCTCCCAGTGTTCCATCTAAGCTGAGTTAGCATGAGCTAGCTCACAGTTTTTTAGGCTCCGGCTCACACCTTTTCGTCTTCGCTCAGGAAGGACGGCTCCAGAGCAGTGTTCCCTCTAAAGCTGAGTTGGTGTGAGCCAGCTCACAGTTCTTTAGCCTCCGGCTCACACATTCTTGTCTTCGCTCAGGAAGGACAGCTCCAGAGAGCAGACTAATTCATGCCGTCGCCAAATCACCCGCTCACTACTTTAATGCCGGTAGCTCACAGAGTAGAATTTTTGCTCAAAGGGTTCCACAGCTCAGAGGGAGCAGGGCTCGCAATGTTCCCTCTAAGCCGTAGAGTCTCGTGAGCAAAAATCCTACTTTGAGAGCTACTGGCATTAAAGTAGTGAGCGAGCGATTTGGCTGCGGCGTAGATTAGTTTGCTCTGGAGCCCTCCTTCCTGAGCGGAGACAGAAATGGGTGAGCTGGAGGCTAAAAAACTGTGAGCTAGCTCACACTAACTCGGCTTAGAGGGGACACTGCTCCGAAGCAAACTGATTCATGCGGCAGCCAAAAAATTGCTCGCTCACCGCTTTAACGCCAGCAGCTCACCAAAGTCGTATTTTTGCTCAGGAGACTCCACAGCTTCGAGGGAGCATTGGCAGCCACCCTAAACTGCGCTGCGATTCTTCCTCTCCCCCCCCCCAAAAAAAGGAACACCCCATCTCAAGCCACCAGTGCTGGAAATTCGGGCTGGAGGCCACCTAATCCCATCAGTCGGTCCCAGCTCCCCCCCCCCACACACACACACACCCCACAGCCTTACCTGATGCTCTTGAGCCTCTGAGCAGTACGAGCTGGATGCTCCCCGATGGGCCAGATGGCGGTGGAAGAAGGGGTAGGGGGGCAAGAAGGGCAGAGGCAGGCACATGATCCCCTCCTTCCCTTCCCTTCCCTCCCCAAAGGGAGAAGGGGACGCTCTGTCAGTCACACCCCCGCAGGAGCCATCGACCTAAGCCTGGGGGGGGGGGAAACCGA